ACAGGGAGACCCTGTCTCAAAAAGACCAAAAAACAAAAACAAACAAACAAACAAACAAACAAACAAAAAAACCTCCAATAAATGCAATATTAAAAAAAAAAAAAAGACTTTCTGTTCAGGTTAGTAAACGCAGCACTTAGGAGCCTGAAGCAGGAAGGTTACTAGTTCTAGGCCAGCCTAGGTTATACAGAGAAACCTTGAGTCAAAAAATTGAATGAAAGACGGCATGGTGGTGCACACCTTTAATCCCAGTACTGGAGAGGCAGAGGCAGGCAGAGCTCTGGGAGTTCAAGGCAACCCTAGTCTACATAGGGAGTTCCAAGTGTCACCAGCCCTGATTTTTTTTTTTAAGACAGCTGTAGCCCTAGCTGACCTGTAACTCATCTCATAGATCAGGTAGGTCTTGATTTTACAGAGATCCACCTCCCAAGTGCCTCCCAGAGTATTAAGGTTAAAGGCATGGGGCCACCATGCCCAACTGTTTTGCTTCTGAGACAAAGTCTCAATCTGTAGTTCAGTCTGTCCTGGAACTTGCTATGGAGACCAGACTGGTCAATTTATGGTGATTCCCCGCCCCCCCACTTCCTCTTCAGTGCTGGGATTACAGGCATGTGCTGCCACACAAGCCTCTAATTTAAAAAAATTTTGTTTGTTGTTATTTTGTTTTTGCAATTCTGAGGATTGAATGGGTCTCATACATGTAGGTGAGTGCTCTGCCACTGGGCTATATATACCTCCAGCCCCCAAACCATTAAATATGCTTTTTATTCTTCTGGTAGTAACTTCCATCTCTTTGAAAACATATTTGTGCTGTTATTCTTGTATCAACTATATTTACTGGCTTTCTGTTGTTCTAAGGCCTGGCTACCTCTTCCTTCAATATAGGCCTACATTATTTTAGTTATCCTACTGGTTAACTAATGATATGATTAGGGATGGGGTATAGCTCAGTGGCATTTATGAGACCCTGAGTTCCAATCCCTGCAAACAAAACAAAACAACAAAATAAAACAAAAACCAGTTTAAACCTTTATTTTTTTGTTTCAGGGGTACACATGACAAAAATCAATATTCATGGACTTCCTTGCCTTTTGAACAGTTTGGAAGCTCTTGACTTTTTACATTTGTCACTTATCTTCTATCTTCTAAACTCTGGTCAATTCAGCTGTTATTATACTTTTATTTATTTAATTAATTTTGTTTGAGACAGGGGCTCACTGTGTAGTTCTGACTGGCCTGGAACTTAGTATGCAGACCAGGCTGGCCTTGAACTCACAGAGATTCTCCTGCCTGTGCCTCCCAAATACTAGGATTTAAGGATTGTGCCACCATGCCCAGCCCAATTTATTATTATTATTGTGTGTGTGTGTGTTAAGTGTGAGTGGGAGCATGCCATTGGTGGGTGTGCATGACATACATGTAGAAGTCAGAGGACTTTTGGGAGTCAGTTTTCCCCTCTTTTTTATTATTTATTTATTTATTATTACTAGAGACAGGGTCTCCCTGTAGCCCCAGCTGGCCTGTAACTCACTATGTAGACCAGGCTGGCCTTGATCTCAGAGACCCACTTGCCTCTGCTTCCTAAGTGCTGGGACTAAAGGAGTATGCCACCATGCCCAGCTCTCTCCCACTTTAAAATGTTTTACTATTTATTATTGTTATTATTTATGTGCATATGTGTGTGGGCACACAGATGTCATGGCCTATGTACATGGAGGGCAGAGGACAACTTTTAGGTGTCAGTTCTCTCCACCATGTAGGTTTTGGGAATCAAACTTAGATTGTTAGACTTGGTGGCAATGCATTCACCCACTGAGATCTTGCTGGCTCTCCTTCCAGTTTGTATTGAAGTAGAGTATCTTTTCATTTCTGCTACACTGCAGCACTCCAGGCTAGCTGGTCTGAGAGTTTCTGGATGATTCTCCTGTCTCCACCTCCAACTCTACAGGAGTACTAGAATTACAGATGTGGGCCATGCTCAGTTCTTTTCTCTTCTGTTCTCTTCTGTTCTCTCTTCTTCCCCTCTCCCTTCCTCCTCCCTCTCTCTGGCCCTGGCTGCCTGGAACTCTGTATGTAGACCAACCAGGCTGACCTTGAACTCAAAGAGGTCTGGCTGCCTCCCTGGTACACCATGCCTAATCACATCTGGCTTTTTGATGTGGGTTCTGGAGATCAAATTCAGGCTATCAGCCTTTGCAGCAAGTACTTTTACTCAGTGAGCCATCCTGCTGGCCCTACTTTTTTTTTTTTTTTTTAGAGAGGTTCTCATGTAGCCCAGGTTGGCTTTGAACTCACTGTCTAGCCAAGAATGACCTTGAACTTCTGATCGTCCTGATCACTTAGCACTCCTGAGTGCTAAGATTACAGGCATGGGCCACCATGCCCAGTTTTATGCAGTACTGGGGACTCAAACCCAGGGTTTCATGCATGGTAGGCAAGTACTATACCAACTGAGTTATATCCCCAGCCCCTGTTTTTATACTTTTATAGAAAACACATATTTTTAAAATTTATTTTATGTGTATAATAAGTGTTTTGCCTGTATGCATGTGTATCTGGTGTGTATGCAGTGCCCATAGAGGCCAGAAGCAGGAGATGGAGTCATCATGTGGGTACTGGTAACCCAACTTGGGTCCCTTAACTCTAGTTCCAAGGGATCAGAAATCCTTTTCTGGCTTCTTTGGGCATTGCATGTGGTAGACTTACATACACGTAGGCAAAACACTCATTCACATAAAACAAAGATAAATAAATCAGGGCTGGAGAGATGGCTCAGTGGTTAAGAGCACTAGCTGCTCTTGCAGAGGACCCAGGTTCGAATCCTAGCACCCACATGGTGACTAATAACTGTCCTATAACTCTAGTTTTAGGGTTATTTGACGCCATCTTCTGTTCTCTGCTGGTACTGCATGACATGGGTGCACGTACACACATGCAGGCATAACACTCATGCACATAAAAATAAAAATTAAAAAAATGAAAAATATTCTTAAATTCTTGGGAGGCAGAGGAAGAGGCAGGCAGATCTCTGTGAGTTCAAGGCCAGCCTGGTCTACATAGTGAGTTTCGGGCCAGCTGGGGCTACAGGGAGACCTTGTCTCAAAAAGACAAAACAAAACAAAAAACTCAGTTAAGGTTAAGGTAGGAGGGTTGCCAATTGTCATGTTTGGGGATAGCTTGGGCTACATAGTGAGCTTCAAGCTAGTCTGGACTATATTAAGTCTCAAAAAAAATGAAACGAAACAAAACAAAAACCAACCAAAACCAAACAATTAAACAAAAACACTCTCAGTAGTTCAACATAAATAATATTGTAATGTGGTGTTCAGGTTTGCTTCCTGTTGCTCTGATAAAACACTAATCAAAACTTACTTGAGGAGAGGGTTTATTTGGTTTACAGGTTCCACACAGTCTATCATCAAGGGAAGCCAAGGCAGGAACGCAAGGCAGGAACCTTACTAACCTGGTCCCCTTAGTTTGCTCAGTTAGCTTTCTTATAGTTTCTTTCCAGCTGCCTAGGGATGGGACCACCTAAAATGGGCTGGGCCCTCCTATATCAATTAGCAATGAAGAAAATGCCTCAGACTTGACCTTAGGCCACTCTGCTGAGGGAAATTCCTCAACGGAGGTTCCCTCTGCCCAGGTTGTCAAGTTGACAACCAAGATTAGCCATCACATATGGTTTTTGGTTTGTTTTATTGCTTTCTTCTTTTTTTTTGGAGAGGCTCTCTTATGTTCAGTTTGGCCTCCTAACCAACCAAGCAAACAACAACAACAAAAAAAACCACTCAGTAGTTCAACATAAATAATATTATAATGTGGGTGTTCTTTTTCTTGTTTTCATTGCTTTTTTGAAAAGGTCTCATGTAGCTGATGCTGGCCTCTGTATGTAGCAGAGGATGACTTTGGACTCCTGATCCTCAGGCTTCTGCCTCCCAAATGCTGGGATTAACAGGCATGCACACCATGCTCAATTTAATGCAATCTTTTTTTCCTTTTTTTTTGGTCTTTTTGAGACAGGGTCTCTCTGTAGCTCCAGCTGTCCTGGAACTCACTATGTAGACCAGGCTGGCCTTGAACTCACAGAGATCTGCCTGCCTCTGCCTCCCGAGTTCTGGGATTAAAGGCGTGTGCCACCTTGCCTTATTTCACGTGTATGCATGTATTGCCTGTGTGTAGTAAGCGCACCTGTGTCGTGTCGTACAATGCCCACAGAGGACAGAAGAGGCTGTCCTGTCGGATCCCCTGGAATTGGAGTTAGGACAGTTAGCTGCCATGTGGGTGCTGGGATTCGAACCCAGGTCTTTTGCAAGAACAACCAGTGTTCTTAATCACTGAGCCATCTCTCCAGCCCAATTTAATGCAATCTTTAAAAATAAAAATAAAACTAGGGCTGGAGAGATAGTTCATCAGTTAAGAGTGCTGCTGCTCTTCCAAAAGACCTGAGTTGGGGTCCCAGCACCCACTTCTGGCAGCATATATAACCACCTGTAATTCCTGCTCCAGGGGATCCTATACCCTCTTTGGGCCTCCATGGGATCTCCACACATCTGGCATACACACACACACACACACACACACACATGCACAGGCATATAAATAAACATTTAAAAAACCACTGATGCTAATTAATCCATAAAAGAACAGCAGTATTTTAAAAAATAAAGACAGACTCAATAGGGGGCAGCAAGATGATTCAGCAGGTAAAGGTGCTGCTTAGCAAGCTTGGTGAACTGCGTGCAATACCTGTCGTCCATGTAAAGGTGCGCTCATATGCACACACAATCACACACACACACAAATTATAGTAAATAATTTGCTTTAAAAAGGCTCACCAGGTGTGGTTGCACATGCCTTCAATTCCAGCACTTGGGAAGCAGAGGCCAGTGGGACTTGGAGGCCAGCCTGGTCTAAATAGTGTTTCAGGCCAGCCAGAACTACATATTAAGACCCTGCCTCAAAATAAATAAATAATAAAAAGTTAATAGAACAGAATAAGAGAAAACCCTGGAAATGTTTGCTGTTGCACTCCACCACTAACAGTGCTTTCTGCTTCATTCTACCGCGTCTATGAGGACTTGAGTTGCTTATAAGAGCTGGTTAGTGTTCAGATGAGGGGGTGAGGCATGCCTTTCAGAGTAGGAATTCCAGGAGTACTTACACCACCAGACTTTACAACGTGTAAATTAGGCCCAGGTTGAATTAGGTTATTGAATTCTTGGGTGTGTGATTTAAGACTGAAGGACAAAAGGCCTTGCAGATAAATTGACAGTGTTCAGAACTTCGTGCATTTCCAATAGAGTTCCCTCCCTCTGCTGTGTGCAAGGCTGTTTGGGCAGGCAGTACGACGTTTTGAATAAAGGTCAACAAGGGAGGTCACTTTCCGGATTTTTCTCCTGGGTAGGAGGAAGCCGGAGGCCTCTTATCAAACAGAGTCGCAGCACAATCCTGGGCTTCCAACAGCTGCAAATTTTTGCTCGAAGCTGCAAAACTTCTGGGGTTGCCATGGTCCTTGGGAGCGAAAATGCTGGCCGCCCTTTGCTACCGCAGCACAGAGCTGGCCGTTGCAGCGTCCTCTCCAGTCCCTTTCAAAAGGAGACCCCAGAAAGGGGTGGAGCCCGGACGGGACCTGAACCTGAGCTCTTGTCCAAGGGACTGCGGCGAATAAAAAAGGCTTTTCTCAAACTAACGGGCTACAGCCCTGGGTTTGTCAAAGGCTTTCTTTCTAAACCCTCAGTGCTTTCCCGGGGAGCAGAGACGCTCTTCCGCACCACAGCCTGCTGGTGGGCATCTCCCTTCCAGCCAGTGCCAAGGGATTTCTCACCCAGCTCTGCCGGCGAGGGGAGGAGGCAGCCGAGCCGGCACTTCCCGGCAGGCCGCGGAGGTCGACGTAGAGCCACCCGGGGTGACTTGCAATTCTGCGATCACTGCAGAACTGCGGGAACAGCCCGGAATGCCGAGGCGCCGGCGGCTACAGGCCACTCGGTGAGCCGGGGATACCACGCTCCCCGGCGGACTCGGGGGTGGGGGCGCAGACAAAGGGGCGGTGGGTAGCTCGGGTTTCAGGGTGGGTCGCTCCCGGGCGACGGCGGCCGGGCGAGGGGAGGCGCTGTGCGCCGTCTTCTCCCAGCAGCGCGCGCCGGCCCGGCCCCGCGGCTACTGCGCGTCACGCTCTTCCCCGCCCCTAGCCGAAGAGCCCAGAGGAGGGAGGCGGGAGGCGGCGGCTGCTGCAGCGAGGCAGGTGGAGACCCGCGGCGGCTGCAGTGAGGCAGGTGGAGACCCGCGGCGTCCCAGGCGGTAAGCTCGGCGCGGGCCTCCTTCCCCTTCCTCTGCGTCCCGCCCTTTCGCGCTTCTTCATCCCGCCCTGGGGTCCCGGGAGGCCGGGAGGGGAGCGGCGCCTCATGCTCCGTCACGCGCCGGGCGGCCGCCGAGGAAACCCGCGGGGTGGCCGGCCAGAGGGAGCGTCGCCGCGGAGCGGGTCGCGAGCTGCGCGTGTCCGGCTCTGTCAGCGCGGCCCAGCCTTCGCCTTACTCCGCCCGACTCAAGATGGAGCGTGGACTCGGGGGCCCCCGCGCCGCGGGCGCCGCTCCCCGCCGGGTCCTCCCTGCTTCCTTCTCCCTGGCTTTGCCGGGCGCGCGCCACCGTGCCCCTCCGGGAGGCCGCGGTCGGGCCGGACCTGTTGCCCAGGGCAGCACGGTCCACGTCCTCCTCAGACCCCGGGCGCCCGGCAGCTGGAGTGGAGGTCCCCTGGTCGGTGTCGCGGGGGCTGGGCCCGGCCGCCGTGGGCTTTTGTTGTCCTTGCGAGCCGGGCGGTGATGCTCCGGGAAGGTGGAAGGGGCGCCATGGGCTCCGGATCCATGAAATCACCGCCGCCCGGTAACCCGACCCTGCTAAGGCGTCCGGGGCTGGCGCGGAAGACAGATGACACTTGTTCAGAGGCTGTTATAACAGCCGAACCTTCTGGTTTCGGGAATTGGAAGGTTTGGCGCTATTTTAAAAAAAGAAATTCCATTTTTTGGTCTTTTTGAGACAGGGTCTCCCTGTAGCCCCAGCTGCCCTCGAACTCACTATGTAGACTAGGCTGGCCTTGAACTCACAGAGGTCCTCCTCCCTCTGCCTCCCGAGTGCTGGGATTAAAGGCGTGCGCCACCACAATCAATTCTGGAGTACAGCTCCGAAATCCGGTGGTCAGTCCATTTCTTGTGGCGTTTCCATCTGGCAGCAGCCGCGCACCACCCCCTGCTTCGCTTCCCAGTCGCACGTTTTTGGTCATAAGAAATTATACGTTGAGTCTGTCATTGGTGTGGATATCTGTTTTTAGCAAAAACTCGGGCGCCATGTACTGTTTTTAAAAAGAAGAATGGAAAGGATTCTGTAATACATTTTTTTTTTTTTTTTTTTTTTTTTTCCTTTTTGAGTGTGTGATTCAGCAGCCTAGCCTGTGTTCCTCTTTTAGGTTAGGACAGTGTTTGGCAGTTTGGAGCACTTGTAAGTATCAGTGCTGCCGCTGCTGCCGCTTTTATGGGTGTGTTTCTGGGATTTTATTATTCTATTATCAATAGTGTCTACAAGTCAGGAGAGCAGTGTTTGGCTTCTAGATTTAATGATCTTTTGTTAGAATCCTTAGGTATGTTGTGCCTTAGCCTTGGGGCCATTTTTTTCTCCTGAAATAATACATTTATTGAGTGCTTCTCATGGCCAAGCCCTGGGCAAGTGTGTTTTATCTCACACTAAGTGTGTTTTATCTTACACTATCGCCCAACCTGGTGAGGGTGCTGTCATCCCCATTTTACAGAAAGGGCATTGAAAGGTCAAGTAACTTGAGAATCACAGCTAATATTTGATGCTTGCAGGATTTGTACTCAAGTCTTCTGACTCTGGGTGCTTAGTTATTTCATCAGTGAATCTATTGCAGAAAACCAAAGGTGACCTTTTATTAATGTGAAGGAAGTGGGTGATTCCTTGACTAAGTGCTTATGTTTAGTTGTTGAGATCCAGAGGCAGTGATTAAGAACACCTTAAGCTTCCCACTATGCCTAGTTCAAAGGGATAATAAAACAAAACTGAGTAGGACCTTGCATAGGTATCTGTCTGCAGATTAAGATTCTGCCTTTCTCTGCTCTTTCAGTCATTGTTGAGCACAAAAAAAGCTAACCTGGTTCCTGTCCTTAAGGAGCTTAATAATTTTTTTAATTTATTATTTTTATTTTATGTGTATTGCCTGCATGTATGTGAGTGCACCCGTAAGTGCCGCAGAGGTCAGAAGAGGGCTTCGGATTCCCCTGGAACTGGAGTTAAGGAAGGTTCATAGCCGCCATCTGGGTGCTAGCAATTGAATCTGGGTCTTCTGCAAGAGCAGTCAGTGCTCTTAATGGCTGAGCTATCCCTCCAGCCCCAGGAGCTTAATACTTTTTATTTATTTACTTATTTATTAATTTTTGTCTTTTTGAGACAGGGTCTCTCTGTAGCCCCAGCGGGCCTGGAACTCACTATGTAGACCAGGCTGGCCTTGAACTCACAGAGCCTGCCTCTGCCTCCCGAGTGCTGGGATTAAAGGCATGCACCACCATGCCCAGCTAATAAATATTTTTTTAAGAAATAAAAAGTATTGCTGGGCATGGTGGTGCATGCCTTTAGTCCCAGCAGAGGCAGGTCTCTGTGAGTTCAAGGCCAGCCTGGTCTACATAGTGAGTTCCAGGACAGTTGGGGCTACAGGGAGACCCTGTCTCTCAAAGATCAAAAAAATAAATAAAATTATTTTCATTTCATGCATATGAGTGTATTGCCTGAATATATGTAAGTGCACCTTTGTCATGCAATGCCAAGGAGGTCAGAAGAGAGTTTGGGATTCTCTTGGAACTACAGTTATAGATGGTTGTTAGCTGCCATATGGGTCCTGGGACTTGAACCTGGGTCCTTTGCAAGAGTAGCCAGTACTCTTAATCTCTGAGCCATTTCACCAGCCCAGTTGAATGCTTTTTTGGTCTTTTTGAGACCAAAAGTAGCACCAGCTGGCCTGAAACTCGCTGTGTAGATCAGGCTGGCCTTGAACTCAGAGAGATCCACCTGCCTCTGCCTCCCAAGTGCTGGGACTACAGGCATACGTCACCATACCCTAGAATGTATATATTTAAGATAAGGGACTTTCTCTTTCATTTTGTGGTATCCTCTGTGCAATCTTCCAGTTTTGTATGCTCAATAAATGCTTGTTATTTAGTTAATTGAAATGGCATCAATTTCAAGACTGGTTTTGTAGAAAAAAAAATTAGAGGTATCAATAAAGACAGAGAGATGGTATTTGTTAACATTTAAAAAAGCCAGTTGGGCCTGGGCGTGGTGGTGCATGCCTGTAGTCCCAGCACTTGAGAGGCAGAGGCAGGCGGATCTCTGTGAGTTCAAGGCCAGCCTGGTCTACATAGTGAACTTGTAGGACAGCTGGGGCTACAGGGAGACCCTGCTTCAAAAAGAAAAAAAAAAGCCAAGATGGCTCAGCAGGCAAATAATAAAAAATTAAGAATACAATTGTCAGCTGGGCATCATGGTGCACGCCTTTAATTCCAGCACTCCGGAGTCAGAAGCAGGTGGATCTTTGTGAGTTCAAGGCCAGCCTGGTCTACATAGTGAATTCCAGGACAGCTGGGGCTACAGGGAGACCCTGTCTCAAAAAGACCCCCCCCCAAAAAAAAAAGAATCCAGTTGTCTATGTAGTGTTAAGTGAGCCTTTTCACCTTGTATGACTTTACACTATCCAGATAACTTCTTTTCCTCCCTTCCTTGTACAAATAAGGTGGGAGGTCAAGTGTATTTTTCTCTGATGAAGAGGAGTCAGTGCTGTTTATTAGTCATGGAAGCCTGTACTTCTCCTTTGCAGTATTGTTGAAGTGTTGTGATTTCTCCAAAGGCAGTTTATGAATCTGTGGTGTATCTGTGGGCTGTCATGAGGTCTCTTAAGGATTCACAGCACAGATATTTACTGAGCCATTTACTGTGCTACATACTTTCCAGAGATGGTAACACAGCCCTAAATAAAATGACAGAAATCCCTATATTCTTGGAATTCTCCTTAAGTAGGAGAGGCAGACAACAAACATACTAAATAAATATATTGTGTTACAAAGTCACACATACTAAGGGAAAAAAAATAAACCAGAGGAGGAGAAATATGAAGTTTGCAGATAAGGGTCAGGGTAATGGAAATTTTAGGTCAGGTGGCAAGAGACCCAGCTGAGAATGTGATTTGAGTGAGATGTAAAGTTAGGCAATGTTGGTCCCTGAGGGAAGTGCATACCAGATAGAGACAGCAAGTGCAAAGGCCCTGAGATGGGAAGCTTGAGGAAAAAATTACTTAAGGGTTTATAGGCTGTAATCCTGAAAATGTTTATTAAAATATTTCCAAATTCTGAAATTTACAGAATGTCATTTCACCCATCTGTCCGTCCATCCATCCAGGTTGTGGGGATAGAACCCAGGCCCTCACACACCAGGCAAGCACCCTACTACTGAGCTATACTCCTTATTTGTTTTAGTTTTTAGTTTTTGTTTAGTTTTAGTTTTTTGAGGAGCTCTCTATGGAGCCCACAATCCTCCTACATTATTAGCCTCCTGAGTGTTGGGATTCCAGTTGTGTGCCAGTTGTTGGCACACCTGGCTATTGTGGTGGTTTTTTTTTTTTTTAAATTTTATTTTATGTGTATGTGTGTATTGCCTGCATATAGGTAAGTACACCCATGTCGTGCAATGCCTGTGGAGCTCAGAAGAGGCTGTCGGATCCCCTGGGCCTGGAGTTACAGACAGTTGTTAGCTGCCATGTGGGTGCTGGGATTTGAACCTGGGTCTTCTGTAAGAACAACCAGTGTTCTTAACCGCTGAGCCATCTCGCCAGCCCCTATGTGGGTGGTTTTAAAATGAGAATTTAATGTGTTTCCCAGGCTTAGCTAGATCTCACCATCCTCCTACCTCAGCTACCCCAGTAGTTGGGATTATAGACACTGACCACCATGCCCAGCTGTGATCAAGGTAGAGTTAAAGAACTGAGACTCAAAGAATTTCACTATCTCAACTGAAAGTTTCATAGCTAATGAATGCAGAGCAAGAAGAAAAGACATATAAAAGTTTGTTACTTTAATCATTGTGCAGAATACCTTGGTAATAGAACCTCAGATCAGTGGCTGGTCAAATCAGGGCTAGCCAGTGTCTGATATATAGACTTCAGCCCCCTCACCCTACTGGGGATTGAACCCAAGGTTTTACACAGGCTGTATACCTAGCTCCAGACTGAATGTATTCTCAGTGTATTC